TTTATTATAATTAATTTCATTACTATCTGATTGTGTAAGAGTACCTAGTAATTCTAAATTTCTTCAAACTTAAGCAAGAAGTACTGTATTGTTCGATGACGAAAATGATAATTGTAAGTAAAGAGAGATCAGGCAAAACAAACTGTACTTTTTACTTAAGTACACTATAGTAAATATACTTCTCAAAAGCACAAAGTAGATATTTTGAGTAAGTATTATTTGTGATTGTACTTACTGTACTGGTAGCGAACTAACGTCTAAATCATCTAACAAATGAGAAATAATTTTTCTTTGGGTAGCATCAGTTAACAGTTCCATCCAAACAGGATCATTTTCTGCAATTTTTGTCAGATTACCAATAATATATAAAGCGCATTTTGCACGAGTCAATGCAACATTCAATCGTCTCATATCTCTCAAGAAACCAATTTGATTACCACTTCGAACGCATGAAACAATAACAAAGTCTTTTTCTTGACCTTGTGCGCCATCGATAGTCAGGACTTCCACATCAGGAGGAAGAATACTTTGAAGAAAATGCTGTTGAGCACGATAAGGGGTAATAACTGTGATTCGTCTTTTCACTTCCTTGAGAAAATCATTTAAATGACTATCTCCTAGTTGGCGTTCCATTAGATATGCAATCAACCTATGGTAAAGTGCTTTAACGAACCACGCTTCGTTTTCGTTTATTATTGAACATGTATGGTCTCTTCTTTCTCCATCTATATTTCTATCGTAATAATGAAGTGGTTGAAGATTAAACTTGTGCACTCGTTCATTCACGGATGGATCAGTTTCCAAGTTTCCTTCATAAAACTTTTGATTTGGAAAAGAGCAAATTTCTGAATGCATTCTATACTGAGTAGTCAGTTTCGTGATTGCATTGCTTTCCAACAAAACATCATATAGGCGCTCATACAGCGATTTTTTGAGACCATTGTTTTCAGCAACATTGCTGATTACTGTCGGCGGCAATTGCTTTGGATCCCCGACAAGAATTATTTTTGAACAATTAAATCGTAGAGGGATCAGAGTATCTGCCAGCAAACCCTGAGTAGCTAGAATACGAAACAATATATTGTTGTGTTATTATGATTCTAATCAACATATACACATATGCTTGCGTTTACCCTCATCTATTATTACGAAGCCAACCTTGCCAATAAGTGAAAGTAGTCGCGAACTGGCACAATTATTTAATGTGGAAACAATTACTCGAGCCTTTTTTAATACTTTTGCTTGATACTTGCTTATATTCACAGACTGTAATTCGGGCTCTGTTTTGAGGCGTCGGAAAATTTTATCAAGTATGATAAAGCTAAGAAAGTGATTGCAAAGTTCTTCATCATTAGGACGTTGAAAGCCAATGCGAACGAGAGCATGTCGATTTACTCTACCTGGCCTTTGCTCTTGAGGTAATATCTTAAGTATACGACACGATAATTCGTCACATGCGTTATTCGAAGGCGCGCATATCAGTATTTTCTGTCTTTCGAATAATTTATTTGACAATAAATTTTGAACTACTCCAGCGATGGTTGTACTTTTTCCAGTACCTGCACGAAGAAGGAGAAGCAAGAGCATCCGTCGAACTAATGAATAGTAAAAGTTTGTGTCTTACCTGGCGGACCAAGAACTAAATGCAATCGTTCTACATCATCAGCATACATATGCTCAGCAATATCAATAATTTTGGTTTGTTGCAAGTTGTAGTCGGGCCTCTTTTCTGTTGGCATAGAAAAGGTACTAGAAAGTCCGAAGTATGTATCGTTAACCTTTGGAAATATTAGAGAGCATCTATGGGGACAATTGTCGAATTCATCAATTGCTTGAATCATGCGAGCTGGTGATGTTATGTTACTAATTCTACGTAATGGAATTTCTAATATCATTGTTTCTCGTTGCTTTACAACAACGTTGGCACATTCTTCAGAACAATACATACCAAGAACAAGACGCAATCTGGCCCTCACTACTTTATCTACTGTACTACTAGCTGTCATTGGATACGGATTTCTTCTATGTTTCTTGATTCGTATCTGTCGCACACAGACAATAACACCAAAATAGTTCTTTCCATCGAGATTCATACGAAGAACATCAAATAGACTAGGTGCTTTGGTCGAGTGTTTGAACGAATCATCTAAGCAGTAGATATCAAACAATATGGAGGAACTGTTGCAAAAAGTCTTACCGATTGTTGAATCAATTGTTCCCACGATAATAGCAGTTTGTTTCGTTCCACTTGCTGTAGACATTTTCTCCATATCTTTCACACTGATCACTATTGGACGATCTTGAAGGGACACTACATTATCTTGGAAATCATGCAACATTGAAGCCCACGTTTCGGAATAATGTAACGTTGTGAGACTGGAACAGAATTTCGAAAATTCCGCTTGAATTTTTAAATTACTACTTGAATGATTTAACGAAGTACCTATTTGATTCAACGGTTTAAATGGATTTTGTATTTTTTTATTATGTAATTCTCTCGCAGGAATGTTCACTTGGTCAAGTAAATCCGGATTCCATTCAGTGACAATTATATCAAGTAGCTTACGAACAGAAGAACTTGAATCTTGTCCCCATGTCGATGTTCCTGTAAGTGTTTGTCTATCCGAATGACTTTTTAACTTGTCATCTGGATCTATATAACTGACGCGAAATCCTCTGAGTTTCTTTGTATAGCATTTGGATAACAGATTTATTAATTGAGCTTTCCGCCAAAGTTCTCCGTCAAGTCCATTCCGACGTTGTTCTAACCAAGCACAGTTAGAGTATGGATCACTGCTCGTGGTCATATCTTTGTTTGTTAATATTGAATTAACTGATCTATAATGTAACAGAAAGAAAAGAAATATAATTGAAAATCGTTTTATCTCTTATTAATTTTTCGAACAGTTGTTGCTATAGAATACAAAAGAATAGTCAAGTAGAATAATGAGATAATTTCATTCAAAGACAAGTATATTTTGAAGATTTAGCAACTCATTCCTTTGTGGATAAGCAAAATTTGCATGCTGACTGTTTTTGCAAGACCATTGACGGAAGACTGTCATTTTTCTTCAAGGAAATTCTTTTGATTTTACCGAAGAAAGTGAACAAACGGCTGTGTTTATGTTATAGCCCGTCAATTCTAAAACGACCTTTGCTGTCATCGGTTTCCTTTATTTGTAAATCTTCAAGAAATCGTCCACCTCCACAAAATTTCCGATGATTAGAGAATGAACTGATCTTCTAAATTTTAAATGATTGTAGCTTGCATCTTTACTATCGAAACTAATTATGATTATAAGTATAGGTATGTGTTACACTAAATTGTTCTATTTCTTGACTTTTTGTAGTGTCTGAGTTCTGCAAGTGCTGATAAATATTTTTAAACTATCAGTAAACTTATATGTTACTAAGCTTAAGGCTGAATTCGAATTTATTTTTGAATGAATTTTTCAAGCATATTTGAGCTAACAAATATTAATTGAAGAGAGTTTTGGACAGCGACAAACCCAAAAAAATTATATACAGTTTGTTTTTGTAACCCTAATTGTTTTTGTAAGCGTTTTTGACCCGTATAGTTTACATAGAAGACTTATTTTCGTATATTCCTCCTAACCAGAATTGTAGGCTTCGTAAATGAATCCGATTATCGATAACTTTGGCTAGTTCTTTGTATTAACTAAAAATGGAAGACCGTGTGACTGCAAACTAACAAGATTGGTCATAGTCAAACTAAACGAATACTCTCACTTATAGACTAACTCATTAAAAATATGAGCTACCAATAGTTTACATAGATTACGATGTTTTACATTTCATGGTATTTGCAGTTTGTCATGTGTCCAATTCCACCACGAAGTATCACACATCCTTATTTCTCTTTTCTGATCATAAGTAAATGTAATGAGACTTTTTTCATAGAGAGAGATAATTTGACACCAATTATAAATTTTTGTTTATTAACCTTATAATTAAGACAGATTTACCCATCTATAACGAAAAGGGAAATTGATTGCCCAGATATTTCGTGGTATGAGCATATATTAGCTTACAATATACGATCTTTTCCTTTAATGTATGTAAGTCTTATGCTTTTTTTTTCTTTAGTTTAAGTTATGTGTACAATTGAAGTAGGAGACAAGAAACAAAAAACTGAAGCATTTTGTCTACGTCAACATGATGCTCATCGATGTTCAAAAAGTTACTCTATCTGATTAGTTTTCGACTTTCGTCATTCATCTAACAATTGTAGCTAAAATACCAGAAACAATTCTATCCCTCTTCTTTTCTTAATTGTCCATAGAAAGAACAAGTACGAAGTGCACGTGTGATTTAAACGGAAGGATAGGGATAGCATTGTTATCTAATTGCATAGCAAATAAACCACTCAAGACAGTTACAACTTAGATGGATAAAAACTTATAAAAAATTACAGCGAGCGAAGCTGTAAGTGAAATAAGCCATAGTCTATCTGCCTCGTCCTGTTGCTAAGTTACTGATCGATCTAAATGCTTAGAATACATACGCACTGACGACGATTTATTCTATAATCGTGAATTTATACACATTGAGTCGAGAAACTGATTGAAGATTCAAATTTTTCGTCTTTGACAATAATTTCGTACCAATAATCATTTAGAACTGTCATTATATTCGATCAACTACAGATAAATTCAGTACAACTTTTTCCATTTCTAGATCGATTTCAAGCTATTCGAGTCAATTCCAAGTCTAGAATAGGAATTGATGAACCCTTATTTGCCGCATCTTTCTTTTTTTCTGGTCGATAGGAACTGCTTTGACTCTTTTTCGAGAAACCCATAATAATAAATAGTGGAATGTTGTCATAAACGGATAGGCATTTTTTGCAGACAGATATTGTATAATGTATAATTCATACAAAAATATAAAACTGAACGTTGAATATACTTCTTGAACTATCATGTAAGAATATTATAATTTAATTTAATTTATAGCTCATAAATTACGAAAAGTAAATAATTCATGTTTAAAATAAATTCACAATAATTTACATTTACCAGTAAATATAAATTGTGACAATATATATATTTACTACACTGTAAAAAAAATCTGTAGAATAATAAACCCAAAAAGAGTTGATGAAGGTGTAACGTGCACTGAAAAAAAAAAGGTACCATACGAAACCCCAAAGGTATCCGATTTTTGTAACGAAATCGAAATCCTTTGAGGTTTCGTATAAATTGGGTGTCGTAAAAAGCCATAATTTTTAATAGCTAATAACAAGGGTTTCGTACTTTGGGTTCCGTATAATTCACCACGCAATATTGAATGAAAGATTCGCCGGGTGCTATGCTTCATTATGAAAGTAGTTTTTCACCACTATCCACTGCAAAACACACCCACTCTTTAAAAAAGAACCGGGTTCTATAGAAACCACCAGGAAAAATGTCTGAGAATCACTGTATCCTGTAGGGAAACACAGGGCATCGCTGGAATATAGAAGCAGTATTCCGACCGCAAACTTCCAAATTTTTTTGAATGATTTCCGCCGCATCATGCTGAAAGGCATTGCAAGTTGGTCGGACCTCACTAGAAAAATCAGGAAAGTTTGTGACCGGGATACTGTTTCCATGTTGCACCGATACCATGTGTTCTCCTACAGGATACGGCGACTTTCAAGCTTATTTTCTGCCAGTTCCTCCAGATTCCGGTGGGTGGAGCGATCGGTATGAGATGTTTCATCTAAAAAGAAATAAAATAATTCATCAGCTATTAACTTTCAAAGTCGAACTCACCATTAGTATTTGTTGATCTGACACTTGATCTAAATATAAATAAAATATTTCATCAGGTTGTAACTTATAAAAATGGAACTTACCATTAGTATTTGTTGAGCTGAGAATGTATCTAAATAGAAATAAAATAATTCATCAGCTTTTAACTTTCAAAATCGAGCTCACCAATAATATTTGTTCATCTGACAGTTGATCTAAATAGAAAAGGATGTTTTGCCAGGTGTTGAGTTTGAAAATCGAACTCACCCTTATTATTGGTTCAACTTCAGCTGCCGCTTTATCTAAATAGAAATAATATATTTCATCAACTTTTAACTTTCAAAATCGAGCTCACCATTAATATTTGTTCATCTGGCAGTTGATCTAAATAGAAAAAAATGTTTTGCGAGGTGTTGAGTTTGAAAATCGAACTCACCCTTATTATTTGTTCAACTTCAACTGCCGCTTGATCTAAATAGAAATAATATATTTCATCAGATTGAATTTTTTTAAGTCAAACCCAACATTAATATTTGTTCATCGGGCAATCGATCTAAAGAGAAACAAAATATTTCATCAGGTTTTAAGTTTTAAAGTAGAACTTACCATTACCATTTGATTAAATGACGCTTGCTTAAAAAAAAATTAAAAGCGTAACTATCGCCTCTTCCACTCACTTCACCTCGGCTGAATAGATTAGAAGTATTTTCGTTCGATACTGATATCGATAGGACCGATCTATCAATTCTAATCCTGAATACCGACCCACAGGCCTCTCGAATTGTAAATACTCAAAAACAGTTTCCTTGTAAAATAGTTGTAAGCGAACGCATCTTTAACCTAAACGCTATAAACAAACCAAACTATCAAAATCCACGTAGGCTTTAATTATTAAACTCTTTTGCCAAGAAACAATACTACGATATTATGAGCCGCTAATGTATGGTTACGCAATGTCCATCGCATCTTTAGAAAAAACTTTTATAACAAC